GCTAGCCAATCAGCGCGCTGGGGCCGTCAATCGACAAGAGCGCCGCTTTTCTAGAAAATAAATTCACCTAATGCCATTTATCTAGTCTTATGTACACAGCTGTAAGATTATAAATGAATGGGTATTTTTAAACAGACATGAAAGTGGTCGAGAAATGTGAGGGCTGTGAGTAAAAAAAAATGGCAGTAAATTTAAACTTCATTTCAAACTCCCAGGATGTATCTGTTCTAAAAAAAAAAGATAATGAAATGAAGTTACCCGACACTTTTTTGAAGTAGCTGGAAATAATTTCTAAAAAAACTGCTTCAAATATGTAAGTCGAATACCTTCGGTATAGAGTACTGGCGACTGATACTGGAAATTTGGCTTAGGTTTCTGCGAAAATTTAACCAAAAAAGTGAGAAAAATAATTTAGTGCTTCCTTGAATTCTCTATCTGTTCTTCTCAAAGATGTTGGCCTAAGGCACAAGGGCTGATTCATTATTTTTGGAGTGCTTTGCGATTCTACTTACAGTATGTTTCTTAAAGATGCACAGTAATTGTTCTTCTCCTACCACAGTATCAAACTAGACTGAAGTTATGCGGATTTGGGCTCAAGTTTTCCCTCTGGCTAGAGCATTTTTCTGCTGTAGGATGTGTTGTAAATGAGATGTCCTTTATTTTTGAGGACGTACTCTTAGTGGAATCGAACAAATCCAAGATTGTTCTAGTATTTACCATTACTCTAGATGTGCTTGTGCAGAAAATTCTGTGCCGTCAGCTCAACATCCAGCACTGCTATCGTTGCAGCACTAATTATTAGTAAAGATGCTTTAAGAAGCTTCTTCATTTAGTGTCAGTGCATCGATAAGCCTTAAGGCCACGCTATTATTGTCTTATCTTTTTGCATTTCTTTTTCTTTCTGCTGCTGTGTTCGACCGCTTCTAATATTTTCCTAATCTTCTTTTTTAAAAAACGACTAGTCAGTCAGTGGTTTGGGGGTCATAAGTTTGAAAAATATCGTTAAAAGATTACTCTGCAAGCAGTGTTCTTTTATAAACCACTACTTGAAAATGAAGCTACTGGTATGTAATAATGTTGTCTAAAAATGGTTATCTTATGAAGAGGTGAACAAACCAATAGGATGGGTTCTTAATTTCAGTTACAAACAGTACACCAGTCATTAGCCGACTTGAGCAGATTTATTCGGAAAGCAACACTACCATCTATTACCACAATTTCAGTTGCAAATGCAATAATGGCCCATACGGTAAATCAGCTTGACATTGGTTCAAAACATCTACGTCTTCTTTACCAAAACTTTCAAATCATCTCATCCCATTAACGCTGTTTTTAGACACCGGAAGAGTGGCAGGACCTGTGGCGAGGACCAAGTGAACCGTTGCAATATACAGCGAGTTTAGTTTACAAGGCAAAGTCGATTGAGGAGCTAAAACACATTGCCACTGAAAAGCAGTTTTTCTGCAGCCCAATAAAACTGTCAAAACTTTTTCGTCCTATTGCTCTATTGAATGCACTACGGCAGTATACAGCTCGGTATAATTACACAGTCAAATTACTTACCTTTCAGAATTCTAAATTGTTGTTATGAGAATAAAATATTTTACAGTAAGAAGAAGATGAGTATAGACGATTTGCAAATGCAAAATTCTTGGTCTTCTAACATCTTAAAAGCAGACGTGGTGCTTACTGTTACCGACATATTCATACAGGGAGCACTTTTTGAACGAGAGATAATTCCGACGCGCAGTTCATCTCCGGCTTTTTCTTATGCACCAAATCTATTTATCGCGTGGATGCCTTTTGTAAGTAATATTATCATGTCAGTAATTTGGTACAAGGTATTCAGCAAGAATTATTTGGGTCTTGTTTAAATGGCAATGCAATCGTCTCTGTTTCAAATTCACCTTTGCATTGTGAAGATTATTATTTGTAGCGCGTTTTTTGGACCGTAAAAATTTAACTGAGCGACAGCCATCCAATTACCTGCATCATTTTGAACCAATTTTAGGACGCAGTTTCTCCTTATAGCCTCTCAGAGTCAATCATGTTACCATTATATACCAATCCTGACCGTCGAGAGTTGGTTGCTGAGCTTTGCGTCCCGTGCAAAAATGCAGCTATTTGGCAAACAGCCTCTGTCGCATTATTTCTAGCATCTGCTTAAACATCTAAACGTTCACCAACTGTTAAAAACTGTAACAATGAAGAAACATGCATTGCTCTTGCTACTTTATATGAAACACATTACTACATTTGTCAATTCCTTTCTAACAGTAATAATTCTTCATTACATGTGCTGTAATAAACGTTTCACGCGAAAACGAAATTTTTAGGTTTATTGAGTATTCTAACGATGGCACATTGCAGGAAGCAAAGGATCTTTCCCACTTAAAACTGATGTAAGAGTGTTGTAGCTAACACTACAGTCAGGTGTTAGAATAACCTAATCATTAACATAACGGCAAAGTTGTAAATACCTACCAAAAGAAAAAAACTTCGAAAAAAATTTCATTTATCTGCTCATCTCGGTTATCTAAAATTACGGTTAGAACCAAATAAGAGTAGTCCATGGCCCGCAAAATGAAGAGTATAAATAGCAACAAAATGGGGATATATTTATTCGTTCTACTTACTGCTTTACGAGTATGCTACCAGTATCCCTGCTACAAAAATTGTCAGCTATTTTTTCCAGGTTTTCTTCACCTCCAATTTATAGTATTATTTTACTTATTACTTTCAAAATTACTTTTCACTGTATCGCTGACATTTAAAATTTTGTTATTCTCGCTCAATTATTATTTTCTAAATTTATAATTTCTTGTGATGACTGATTTCTCCACTATAGGTTGATTTCAAGTTACAGTTCTATTTCAGAGCTTTTGAAAATTAGTTATATTATACAATAAATTCGTCAAAAAATTTATCTATTTGTTCCATTTCTTTAGTTATAGATCCATTTATTAGATCATAATCTTTCGTCCTTCTGTTCTTATTCAATTGCTCCTCTAATCAAACCTTATATTGAAATTTAGTAAACTTTCTTAACTGGACTTGCTTAGAAACGACCATTCTATAAAGTATTCAAACCGATAAAAGAGGTTCTGAATCACCAAGAAAAGTCGTGGAGACTAAATTAACTTTGATGATTGTAGTCTTCTCAATCTAGAATAGTGTAGTTCATCATCACTTTAGAAGATAAGCGAAAGAATTTTTGAAGGCCAAGTTGACCTTAGAAATTGTGGTCTCCGCGAATTAGAGTAGTAAAATCTCTCGAATCAGAAGCCAAGTTGGAGAGGTCGTTGTTCACAAGAACGTATAAAACAAGTCTTGAGGAAAATAAAGTGGAACAAAGGGTCTGGTAGAGCCCATAAAAGAACCCTACTATTTAATAAAGTACGGTAGGAGAAGATGGAAAGTTCCACTACAAGGATATATAAATATAAATATAAATATAAATATAA